AACATGTCTCCCCTGACCACTGTGCTCTTTTAAGGTCTATCCAGGAGTTGTAGGTGACTCCTAGTGACCCTATGAATGAAAGTCCTCAACACTTGTATGACTTTCATCCTCTCTCCAGGTTCATAGGGTTTCCGGAGGCAAGCTGTTTATGGAAGTGGATGTCACTCCTGCTTCCAAGCTTGTTTTAATCAAGGAGCTTCACCAAACACTGTCCACCATGGGTAACCATTATCACATTTCACACATCAGTGTCAAAGTGTTCAGCTTTACAGCAACCATGAGTTACCTCTGTATGGCGATTGGACACAGCAGGGCTATACGACCTAGCAGAATGTTTGACCAACTTGAAATACTAGAGTAACAATCTTAAGATGGAGTGAGCTTATGGAAATGGGGAAGGAGAAACTCAGAGAAATGGGTCACACCCTCTGTAACTAATATAACTAGCACCACTGAATTGCACATGTAGAAGTTGTCATATTAGTGTATATTTTGCTATGTTTATTCTTGCTAGCAACAACAACATATTTTTTTTAAAAAAAAAAAAAAAGGAAGGAAGAAAAATCCTCATGGAGCTCAATTCTAGTCTGACATGCCCGAGGTCAGAGTCGACGTGATAACAGCTGGGTTAGTTGCTACAAGACCTCTAAATTTCACTCATTGTCGCTTTTCACTGCAGAAAGGTGGGCACCATGCCAGGTTAGGGCAAGAGCAAGAAGGCCGGGAGTCGCTTCTCTCACAGCCTCTGCCCTCCGCCCCTCCACACCTGGCCCTTTGTTTGTTGCTGCCCACTGATGCCCACACGCAACAAAGATCAGGAATGGACAACAGCAGAGCAGAAATGGTGCGCACAGCCCCTTCAGTGTTAGAACAGTAACAACAGATGCCTAACTTCATGGTGCCCACCTGACAGTGCTCATCACGTTTAAGGGGCTTCATGGAGTAAACTCACAAATATTAGCTCACAAACATCAACTGTCTGTTTGTATCAGCAGGTGGGTGAGATAGTGCTTGTCAAAATGCAGGTTTCCAGGCCCAGCACCCAAGATTCTGGATCTTTGGGGTGGCACCCAGGAAACATCCATTGCAAGAACTTTCCCATATGATTCTAGTGTAGCTGGTCTAAGGACCCCTCATGGAGGAGACAGGGCCTCAGAGAGACTGAGTGGCTTGTTCCAAGTCAGAAAGCTAGGAAGGATGAGTGCTGGGGCCAGGACAGTTACTCAGACTCCAAGGTCAGTACTATGACACCCTCCTTGTGTCTCTTATTATTGTTGTTGCTGTTATTGTTGTTATGTTGTTGTTGCTGTTGTTGATTGACTTCAAGTCAAGCACGACTCATAGCGACCCTATGAACGAAAGGCCGAAAGCCCCTCTACAACTCTCAACATTTATCAAAGTTCATAGAGTTTCAGGAGGCATGTTGTTTAGGAAGTGGATGCCACTCCTGCTTAGGTGCCAAGTTCCCCTACACACACACACAAACATGCACGCCCCTTCCCACTCTTGCAAGTGCCTTCATAATAAATTGTTGGGACTCTCCCAGAAGATCCAGACCACCTGAAGGCATGCTGACCCCAATCATACATCATACCTCTTAGGAGAGGAAGGACCCTCCGAAAAGGTCCTTCCTGAGAGACCCTAGAAAGACAAAGGGCATTCCCCTCACCTTTTCCAATGACCTTCTAGAGGGAAAACATGGTCCCCTGGTAGAAAAGGGAGAGAACTGTGGAATAGAAAGAGACCGTCCCCCCACTAGGTAAACCAGTATCCATAAACAACCAGGCATAGGCTCTGCCCACGGGGAGTGGGAACAGGGGGAGCAGTAAGGAGATCCTAGCTCGTGGGGCTGCTAACCTCTGCCCATTTTGTCTGTGGGAGCTGGCGAGAGGCACAGCAGAGCTGTGGGAATTTGAGGAACATTCTTTAGCAGAGGTTGGCAAGGTTTTTCTGTAAAAGGCCAGATGGTAAATATTTTTGGTTTGCAGGCCATACGGTCCCCGTCACAACCACTCAATTCTGTAGTCCTCGCTTGGAAGTAGCTACAGACAACGTGAAAATGTTCGTGCATGGCTGTGTTCCAGTCACACTGTATTTTCAAAGTCAGACAGTGAGCCCGATTGTGTGCATGGGCCTTAAATCACCAGTCCTGGCCCTGGAAGATGAACGCGTCCTTTCTCTTCCCTTCCCCCCCTCTTCTGCATCCTCTCCTCCTACCACTGATCCTCCCCCTTTCCCTCTTCTTTCTCCCCCTCCACGTAGTCATTATTGTTGTGTACTGCCAAGTTGGAGCTGACCCTCCAGCGGGTTTTCAGAGA